TATTATATAAATATTTTAAATAGTTACGTTTAAAATAATTTTAATCTATTCCTCTCACTTATTAAATAGTTAATTACTCATTTACATTTGATTCTCTAGGTTGAAAAACTTCTAAATTACTGCAAAAAGCATAGCTAACATTACAGCACCAAGATAGATAAAAGTTTTAAACCAGTTAAACATTTATTTTACTTTGAAAACATCAAGCATACAAAATTTCATTCTGCATGTGGGGCAAGGAGCATTTGATGACATCCACAATTCTGGTTGGTTTTGATCTTGTCTGCTCCCAAACCACCTACCCATACATTCCAAACACCACATAGGACGACAGTAGCATTGCTGACACTCATTTTCCGAAATACTATTGCAATGGCGTGATAACTTAATATTTGGCTCTTTTGCCATGCAACCAATGCAGCTTTCTTGCTCCTACAATATATTTTTCTATAAAAATGAATTTTAAACTAAAATAAATTTTATGCGTATGTATGTGTGTTATATGTGTATACCTAAATACATATAAATGAAATTAAAATAACCAAAATGCAATTTGTTGTAAAATGTATAAATACCAATATAATAAAAAAACACATTACATCATTCCGGAATACATAATTATTCAAGGGGCCATTTGCTTCCACTTGTTCTTTGAATGCTTCAATGAAGCAGTCACTTAATGTTTGATGAATAACAATATCTCTTGCATTTCGTATAGGAGCACTAAGCCTATCTTTCAAGTCATTGTAGTCCAAAGAGTTTAAATTTATAAAAAAGCACTCTTCATGCGGCAAGATTGTAGAAACTTTTATTTGTAAAAACTGTCCACTAGAAACTTGTCCAATATTGTAAGAAAAATTCTCAGTTTTAACAATAGTGAGATGGGAATCAGTTTGCTTTGCAATGTAAATTTTATAGGCAGTACATTTAATAATCCATGAATTGGTTACATATATGCTGGTACCTCCTGATAACAATGAAAACTTTTCAATATGACGAAATTCAAGATTAATTTGTGATGCAACACTTCTCCAAGGTGTTCCAAATTTTACAAGATCTCTTGCTAATGGGTGATAGTTTGATGTCGGATATGTCCACACAAAAAACAGTACAACACCAATCAATGCACATGAAAAAGAAACCAAAAAAAAAAACTGAACACCATGGAGAAAGATTTAAAAAACTAAACAAATGCAATTCTGGCGAAAGAAAACCAAGACTGATATAGTAAACTAAAAGAAAAAACATATGTATAGATTATAAAACAATTTTAGATTTATAAAAATATTTTCTATTTTATTTATATTAATATACTTTATTTAAGTTACTTTAATTTGATTTTTTTTAACTGTTATAATTCATTTTATTTTTGGCGACAACTTGACATAAAACATATACATAATTAACCAATTGTCTAATTTTAAAACATTTATATTTGACAAGTATTTTAAAAAATTTTTGTTTAAAATCATTGTAAAACAAAAAAAATCATTTTTAACTTATAAAAAATTTAGTAAACATCAATCTTTGATATAAATAATAGATAATGAATAATATTCGTATTTTTAATAAAACAATAATCTATTATAATGAAAAAAAACAACCTAGAATTTAATAAAAAGAACTATATATTTAACTTGAAATTAAAAACAATTAATTAAATTAAAACAAAAAATTAACTATTAAATGAAAGAACCATTTGAAAACAAAAAGCCAGAAAAACTAGCAACTCTCGTGTTCCAGAACATCATCAATAAAATGAAACAACATAATTTTTTTGCCTTTTTTAAATCTGATGACTAAATTCTTCTAATGTCCTAGGCTTGGTTGGCATAACATCCAAAAATAAAGACAATATTCTGATGACATCCTGAACCCTAATACATACAAAATAAATGAATATCATTACCAGTCAAGATGATTTAGATTAGACAACTTCAAAATGGAACTTCAAATACTTACTACACTCATTCCCAGCAAAAAGGAGTCACACCTTTTTTTGCAAAAACTAACATCAGAGTTAATGGTCCCAAATTTTAAGACTGTTAAAAACTTCTTAAATATAATTTGTCTTTAATTCTTAAATTCATCTTCTCAACAGATGGTTGGAAAGATATCATTTAGTGTAGAGTTTCAAAATTTCCTTCTCACTTGAAAACTAGTTTTTAAGTGAAAGGGAAAGTTATTATTATGACAAAGCATTAATAAAGTTAGTATTAATGACAAAGCATTAATAAAGTAGTACAAATAAATAGAATGATATTTATTGACAAACAGATTCACTTAATAAAAAAAATTAACAATTTTTTTAAATTAATTTTTCAAAAATAAATTACAGATATAATTTATAATAAAGCACTGTTAAAAAAGTCACCAGGGATACGATACAATAGATAATATAGAAATATTTATATTGATGAAAAAAACACTGAAAAAAGATTTTCACCTTTTGCCTCCTGAGATCTACAATCTAGTATAGCTAAAGCAAGCCTTTGTTAAAACTCAATGTATTTTTTATCATAACCAGAACAGCAATAAGAATTCTTTTATTATTTATTGTTGCCATATATGGTCATCATAATTAATTCAAAAGGTAAATTAAAGGTTTCAAATGAAAAGATGTATTAAAAATTTTGAAACAATTCGTCAACCAGTTGTCAGTGCAAACTTGCAATAAAATGGGCTAGGTAGGCTAACTTTTAATATTGTCTTATGCCTCATGTATTTCCTTTGTATAACAAGACTTATTCAATCTGCTTGAAGATTCAAGAAACTACAAATGTTAAAAAGTACAAGTACCTGTACTGTTAAATAAGATTAGCATAGTAAAATAGCATGCTAAAATATTCTACTAAGTTACATCAAAAAAAGGATAAAAAAGTGTTGTACTTAGCCAACATCAGGTTGGCAAAACTTTGCTTGTCTTTTTTGTATGTTGTAACAAAAGAGTTAATGATTAATTACTTATATATTTATATTATTAATTACTTATAATATATATATACATATATATATATATATATATATATATATATATATATATATATATATATATATATATATATATATATATATATATATATACTAAAATTTGGAACACCTTGGAGAAGTGTTGCATCACAAATTAATCTTGAATTTCGTCATATTGAAAAGTTTTCATTGTTATCAGGAGGTACCAGCATATATGTAACCAATTCATGGATTATTAAGTATAAAAATGACAAAGTTTCTACAATCTTGATTATGGTTTATATATATACATATATATATATAAATTAAAAACTATTATAAATTACTATTTTCAAAACCCAAAAAAAAAAAAAATATTCAAAAGTAAACCACCTAAAGGTATTAAAGAATGAACTAGTATTGTCAAGGTTGTTCTCTTCATATGATACCCAACAAAATCTACAGCTTCACTTCCCAAATAAGAGCTAAAAATATTCTGCACAGTAAACCCAATTGATATAAATTCTTTAGGTGGGGATACAAAACAAAGTGCCACAACAAGAAAGACAAAAGAAAAGTACAAATCCATTGTGTTATATAGTCATTGTAATCTAGAAAAGAATTAAAAAAATTATAATTGATAGCAAAATTATAACTTAACTCAGTCTTTACTAATAAATAAATTTAAAAAAAGGATGGTAGTGGTAGTTTTAGTATTCCTGGTAGTACCATGCTCAACTTGGTTCTCTGTGCAGTAGCACAGCCCACTTTCTATACACTTCTTAAAGATCCCTTTGACTTTTGAATATAGTAAAAAAAAATTGATTATCAAAAAACTTTTGCAACAGTGTTTCTTGTCATTTTTAGTGTGAAGTTCATGCTAAAAATTTATGGTTCACACTGTGCACCATAAATTTTCATAAAAAGGTGTAAAAAGAAGAATATTACTGAATAAAAATTGGTTTTTTGCTTATGCCTAGAAATATGTTTCCTGCACAAATCCAATCTACAATAAAAGCTAAACAAAAACTTAAAACTAATATTTTTGTCATTGTTACAAATGCTTGACATCATTAAGTGTCATTTAAACAATAAAATTCATTAGCAGTTAGGAGCAAACTGCTTAATGTAAAGTAGCTCTTGTTGTCAACAATAAAGTTGATAAAAACAGACTACATTTTGAATAAGCCATAAGTCACTGTATGAATCACTGGCACTGTTTTGTTTAGTCTATTTGTTTATTTAAAGCATAGAGCCCTTCATATTTATCAATATTCCGCATATGGTTTTGAGGCTACAATTGAACCTATTTTCAGCTTTTTTTAAGAAAAGTATTTATTTTGAGACAAAATATTATTAAAGTTTGAGCTCTCTTCTTGGGAGGGTTATTTAGAGGTGTTCTCCCACTCTTTTTTTTTTTGTCCTGATTCTCAAGATCGGATATGCATAAAAACAGTAAATCTAGAGCAACCATCTACTGGAAAGTGGAAATGAAAATAAAAATGCTACAAACCATTTATCTTTGTTGATATTTTCATAAAAAGAATTCCATAAATTATGTGGCTAAATGTTGATGATAAGATTAATTTAAAAAAAGAAGAAATATCAATACTCAAAAATATAAGGACACAATAATTAATAGAAAAAAATTAACTGATGTATTAATTAGTAGACAGTAATAAGGTTTTACTTGTGTGCTAGTTTTTATTTGACATTTGTCTTAAGTTTTATAAAGTATTGAGAAAGTTCAATAAAAACTTTATTGACAGGCAATTCTGGAAATGTATTGACTATTGCTATTGCAAATAGTATATAAATAACGATCACCTACCATAGTCACAATTTCAAATTATTTTTATTTGTTAATTTATAGTTTTGATGTATTTTAATTTAATTTAATTCTTAATTTATAGTTTTAATGTATTTTAATTCAAAGCTTAAATGTTTCATTTTATTAACTTGTTCTATAAACTCAAAGATATTTATATTATACAATATAATTATTGATATTATATATATTATTATTATATTATATATATATATATATATTATTGATACTTATACAGTAAACAATATTCTCAAAAAAATATTGCACAAATAGTAAAGGCTTCTCATCAAACTGTATTACAAGTAAGAAAAAAATCTGATACTGGAAAAGAGTTTGATTCAAGCTGAACTTTGTCCAAAAGGCTAAAAAAGAGGAAAAAATGTGTCATTGTCCAGCCAAGAAACCAAATCGAACTTCTTCCATGAAAAAAAAACAGTCAAGAGTCTATTCTCAATAACAATCTGGTTTATCATTTGCAGGCTAAGTGCACGATAAAATGGTTGCAAAAATGATATATAACCAGTATAAACAAGTCCTGGAGAACCAGTTGCTTCCAAAATGGCAGATTGATATAAATATAAATATATATATATATATATATATATATATATATATATATATATATATATATATATATATATATATATATATATATATTTATATATATATATATATATATATATGTATATATCTTTGATAGTATGAATAAGAGAATTTTAAGGTAATCTTTCAAATTTCTTAATAGAGTTTGTTTTTTATTTTTTATTTTTTAAGTGTATATAAATTGACTAAGGTTTTTTGGTTTAAGCAAGCAACCTTTTGATTTAAAGAGAAAAAAAGTTTGTTTTTGTTTTTTTTTTTCGTCTTGATTTAAAGCAACATATGATGGGAAAAACCTTTTAACTACCAAGCAATATGTGTATGTATGTTTGTGTATTAAATTTAAAAATAGCTGTCAATATTTATTTTCAAGTTCAATATTTATTTTCAAGCTTAAAATTTATTTTATTAAAAAAAAAAATTAACAATTATTTACAATTACAAAAAAAATTCCATTAAAAAGCACTAAAGTATAAATATTGTTAAATAAGTTAAATTCATTCATAAATTTAAATATTCTCTAAAAATAAATAATAGAAAAAAGACAACACTGTTATTATACATATATATGTATATATATATATATATATACATATATATATATATATATATATATATATATATATATATATATATATATATATATATATATATATATATATATATATATATATATATATATATATATATATATATATATATATATATATATATATGTATATATATATATATATATAATACTTTCATAAAATAATTAAGAGAGTTGTCTACATTCTATTATTCTATATTATATTTTTAATAAAATATAGAATAATAGAATCTTCTTTTTATTATTAAACCACTTACAAAATGAGATAATTTTAATATATAATTGAATTAATATGATTAATAAATAGTTTCATCTTTTTAATTGTATTTATTTTATATTTTATTATAATAAACAGTTAAATAATTATTATTTATTCTGCAATTTATACACTTATACTACATATATTACAATTATATTTTATAATATTTTTGAGCTAAAATTTAATATATTATAATTGAAAAAAAATTATCTATCTTTTGCAATAAAGTTTACTATTGGCGTTAATGGTGACGAAAGCATCGGATGAATTTCACTAGACAGCTTCATCAAAACACGGGTTACTTCATCAAGTCTAAATAGAAATAACTTAATAAATAAAAAAATTATAGAGAAGAATTTATAATAGCACTTTTTATAACTAGATAATAACTGTCATAAAAATTTAAATTCATGGTTAGGAGTTAATGTTTGTGTTTGTTGTTTTTGTTGTTGTTGTTTTAGTTATTAAGGTGTCTGAGAAGAGTGTCCTATTGATTATCACAGAGTACTAGGCATTTAACCAGAAAGTTGATTTCTCCTTTTTTACCAATGTCATTTATCTGACCTCCTCTGACCTTTAAGTTCTGAGCTAGAAATCTAACTATGTTATAGTAATGTTATATTTTACTCTCACTGTATTATTAATGATGATAAAACTAGCTGATCAAGCAGTTGTAGTAGACACAATGTTACTACATTTAAAAACTATTATACATAGTGTGCAATACTAAATTAAAATTTTATTTTGTTAGGTTTATAAATAAATATATTGAACAATGTGAGCCGGTCCTCAACATCTGAAGGATTTGAAAAATTTGAATTTAAGAAAAAACCAATACAAAACCATCTTAAAAATTATTTTACCAGCAAGCCTGTTAACAAAACTACCACCCAAAAAAAATTAATTTTTTTATGATTTTCTCCACTGATTCTACCCATAAAAGTGTTAATTGTTAAGCAATTTTATGGATAATAATCAAACAATATAGCATTAACTGCAACTGTTTTGTAAATTGAAATTTCGGATTGCAAACAAAAGCTTTAATATTACCAATGAAATGTATTTTTAAATTTAAGTCAAACAAAATGATAAATTAAAATTCATTTGACACATATAAAGCACATTGTGATTAGGTCATAAAAAAGAGCAATGAGTTGAATAATTAGTTGGATTATAGATCTTAGTCATCTCAAGGTATTGTGGCCAGTGGCCATCTCAGTATTGTGCCATTGTCAAAAGTTTAGCATTATATTTTTGATGCAATATAAAAATTATAGTTTAGATAGTTGAAATGTTTTTATAATGACAATTTTTATGAACAAATAAGATCTCTGAATAGATCAATAAGATTTCTATATAGATCTAAATAGATCTTTGTTTTACACAAAATTTAAAATACATCTCCATAAAATTTAAAATACATTATTTGCTGAAAAACAATATTTACATAGCTGATTCTATAAGATAAATAGAAATTGTTATTTAGATTCTTGGTTTTTAACCATTTAATTTTTAGAAATGTTGGCATGTAAACACTTTTAAAGAGTTAGGCCAGCGCTTGTATGCTGTAGCACACATACGATGGGTCTTTTTTATTAAGGGATCGTCAAAGGCTAATCTGAATTTTGAGAGCTAGAGGCTCTTTAGTGAAGTTAAACTATAAAGCTTAGGTATTTCACTGAAACTAACTTTAGCATAGAAGCTTAAGGCATCCAAATTTTCAATAAAAAAATGTTTTTTTACAATTGTAATTGTTTAGTTTTTTTTTTTTTTTAATTATTCAATCATTTTAACAGTAATTACATACACTGGTATACATTGTATAAAAAATATTGTATACATATGTAGTAATTAATATACTGTATACACAAACAGCATTATTATACACCAAGTACAACATAAAAAAACTTAAAAAACAATACTAAAACATAAAAAATGTAGCAAACCTATTTCTTTCATTGTGTTCCAAATGAGGAATTTCATTAGTTTGTAACTTTAGCTGTGCTTTAATGTCTAAAAAAATACTTTCAATCTCATCCTTATAATCTTCTAAAGGAGTTCCAAAAAAACTAACAGCATTCTAAATGAAAAAAAAAAGAAATGAAATATGAGAGTTCAATAAAAAGCTAACAAATTAAAAATGCAAATACATATTTAAAATAACAATAACACTTTTATAAAAGTTATGTCATAACTGGCCCAATAACAGGTAAGCTTAGAACAGAAATCTAAGAACCAACTTGGTTTGTATCTTACAACTGATTAGATAACAATAACAGGTAAGCTTAGAACAGAAATCTAAGAACCAACTTGGTTTGTATCTTACAACTGATTAGATAACAATGAGCCTTACAACCAAGCAGATGAAATACTTATATAATACAAATACTTAACATAACGCAAATTTTTAGGGAATTCTTATTCAAAAGTCCTTCTAACCATAAAAACTATATGTCAAAAGTTATCCTACATGAAGCAAAACTGTTTGGTGAGCAATGTACTTGTGGTTAAACTGCTGATAAAGATCTTCATTTATCTGCTCACTTATCGCGTATAGCTGATTTAAATAAGTAAGCTGTTCAAAGTACTCTAAAAACAGATAAAAAAATAGTTTTATTTTAAAAATAAATTATCTATTTTTTTAACAGTAAAGAGAAAATACTACTTTTAAGAAAACTTAGGCATTTTATACTACTTCATCATTTAAATAACCTTTGTCATTATTTTTCCAATTCCATGTTGTAATATTATATTTTTATCTATTATTCTTGATTTTTTCAAAACTATTTTTTTCAAGCCAATGTAAAAATGTGAAGAAAAAAAAAGAGTAAAAACATATTTACTTTTAAATTTCAAAAAACAAATAAATAATACTTTTAACAACAGACTTCTGGTCTTTAATATTAATTATGTAGCCATTAGCATGACTTAGATATGCACAGACATTAGGGAAGATGTTATACATTCCTTTTCTCTTTAAAAACGACTATAATAAAAAAAGTACAATTAACAAAACTTGTATTTAATTAAATGATAATCCAAAAAAGCCATATAAAAACTAAATAATTAAATGAATATTTGTTGCATTTTTAAATAAAATATTACATCATCACCACCATTATCATTAAATAATATATACTACATCATCATCAGCATCATCATCAAATAAACTTACTTACCTGTTGAAATTATTTTACGAAACACAACTATTATAAAAGGCTGTAATGTAACAAAACCACGAAAAGTTTATCAATTTCATGAAACACAAGTTTTGTAAACTGTGTAAATAAGCCAGGTCTTGGAGTAAAATTTTGTGGAGATGTATCATGACATGATAAATCAGATCTTAGAATAAATTATTGTGTAATTGTGTTATGAAATGTGAAGAGGTGTCATATCTTGGATTAAAATGTTGTGTAAAATAGTCAAAACTTGGATTAAAATGCCATATAGATGTGTCATGACAGGTGTAGAGGTATGGTGTGTCATGACAGGTGTAAAGGTATGGTGTGTCATGACAGGTGTAGAGGTATGGTGTGTCATGACAGGTGTAGAGGTAAGTTTTTAGAATAACTATAACTTCATTCATTTTTATCCATTTATAACTATTAAGAAATGCTAATCATTATTGCTTAACTTATCCCATGACATAGTAACATAGCCTTTGACAGCGTGGCAGAGAAAGAAGATTATATCTGTGATTTTTTTATAATAGACAGCTTATAAGTTTTTATTTTTTCTTATTAGTTAATTGTTTAAAAAAACAATTAACTAATAAGACTTAACATTGCCTTTTATTTTTGTTGTCTGATGACAAGATGTATTCTCAGCAAGATCTTTACAGTTTTAGCAGTATCAAAAATAAATAATACATTTACAACAAAACATTACTTGATTTGACTTTCTGTTGTTTTTTTTTAATAAAAACATTTTGTGTGGAATAAAACGAAGTATTTTAATCTTCTATCTTCTGTAGCATAACTTCTGTAACATAACTCCAAAGATCAACAAGAAGAAATTTGACTGTGTGGCAGAGAAAGAAGATTATATCTGTAATTTTTTATAAATTGGTTTGGAGCAAAAATGACTTGCACTTAGGATTTAAATAATATGCTTTTTATAGTTAAAAAATTGTTTTATGAAGTCAAATTAGTTTTTAATGGTTTCGTCTATACCAAATTATCCAGCTCTTTCATTTTTTTTCAAATTATCTTTTTAATAGCAAAAAAAGAAATTGTTGTGTTTTTAAAAACTAACACTTTGTAACAGTTGATCACACTGATGATAATGATTTGATGATTTCATTCAAAAACCAGTCAACTTATTTTTTTAATTGTAAATAGTATTCAATATTTTCTCATCTTAATCTTATGCCTCTCTTTATCATGTTTTTCATTTTCTTACTATTGATTCCATGACAACAGTATTCATACAAGAATGACTTCATGATTCTTGTATGGAATACTGTTGTCATAGTTTGGCTGGTTTTTCTAAAGAGGCCTTTTTTAGATAAGATCCAAAGCACATGTGTTGTTGAATCTGCTCTAGCTTCTACCTCATTGTCACATAAGGAGTCAGAAAGGTGAAAAAACAAAAAAATATATATAACCATAAAAACAAAAAAACAAGTGAGTCAATACAAGTGTTTTTTAAATCAGAAAATTTAAACTTATTATTAAAAATAAACTTCATACAAAAGAAATGTTATCCTACATGTAATATACATGTGCATATTAATTCTTAATTTATTTGGTAATAGCAATTATTTTATTTGTGAGTTTTTTGTTTTTGATGCACTGCATCTCTTTAGGTTGCATCTCTTTTTCTATTCTACAAACACTACCAAAATCACTTTTTATTATATAGTAGTTTATATGTACACACTTTTCCAGGATATACATTAAAAATAGGCACTTTGTTTTTATGTAAAAAAAAAATGCTCTGAAACATTTATTTGTTCTGGGTTAGTGGGGTGGTACTAAAGTTTCTCAAATGTTCCATAAATTTTTGTTTAAGTTGCGTTCAAACGAGAGTATATTTGTTCATGTACTATGTTCCACAGAATGTTATGTCAAATGTACCCTCGTGTGAACAGCCTATGAAAAAGGACAAACTGCTGTGTGACTTTTCATATCTTGTGATCATCACAAGTGAGCTATCATTATTTGTTCCATTAAACAAAACTCTATCTTGTGTGACTTATCATTTAGCAAAGTTGCCTCCTTCTTTTGTAACTGTTTCTTCATGCTTAAAAAACATCTTTCATAAAAAAATTTTTCTTTGAACATCAGTGCTTTGGAACTCTCTCCTATAACCATGTTTTCCTAAAAATTTATATTTTTTAAAGCTTTCTGTCAATTTGCTCATTAATTCTCTCATTTACTTTCTGTCAACTCTCAACTAAATTAGTGGTTGCTTGCAGCCTATAACATATCAAGACGAATATCCCTTGCCTCAAAGCTCCCATCTAATGATAAAAGGTTTTTACAAGTCAGCAATTGAACAAAAGTATCAAAATCCATATTGATCATCAGAGAGTAAGTTGCTAGGCGCAAGAAGAGATATTATCTAATAACAACACAGAACCAAGGATAGAACCACAAGACTCCACCTTTAGTCCTGCTGTGTTGTTCTTTATCTAGAATAATTTATCTTCCAGATCTTTCTAAATATACTCCAGTTTTGAAAACAAGTCATTGCATTTTGATCACTGGCAGGTTTGTATCACATTTTGATAACAGGCAGCTGATCTTGAACCTTATCTCTCTTCTGTAATGGCTTGGGACTTGCAGCAGTTGGTGAATTTTGACCAAACCATAAGTTACATTAGCAAAACAGATTTTTTTTTGTAACTTTATTAAAATAAATAAAATAACTATCATTTACCAATTAGTTTTAAACATTTTCATTTTGTGAGTCAACTAGTTTTATATAAGTTGATAACTTGGATAAGTTGATGATGCAGTTTCTATTACAAAATAAATATTGACCAACTTCGCATCAAAAGAATAAAAATATTTAATACTATTTAGCTTCATAAAATTATTTTTTTTTCATTTACATAAGATTCTTGTAAACTTTCTAAAAAAAATTATAATGAACTTGTTCACTTGTTCTTACATATGCACGCATCATAACTAAATTTATTTAATTTATTCTTAGAAAGATTAATCTTAAATAATTTAACAAATTTTAAAATATCCTGCACCTCCATCAATCCCAACTTTTAAAATTAAAAACACCTGAAACTACTTCAAGCTTCGAGCAACTACTTGAAAATACTTCAAGCTTTAGCCACTGAATTTGTTTGTAGGAATCAGTAAACAAAACTTTGTTCGTAGGAATCAGTAAACAAAACTTTGTTCAATAGAAGGAATCAGCAAAAACAAAACTTTGTTCGTAGGAATCAGTAAACAAAACTTTGTTCAATAGCAGGAATCAGTAAACAAAACTTTGTTCAATAGTAGGAATCAGTAAACAAAACTTTGTTCAATAGCAGGAATCAGTAAACAAAACTTTGTTCAATAGTAGGAATCAGTAAACAAAACTTTGTTCAATAGCAGGAATCAGTAAACAAAACTTTGTTTATTAGTAGGAATCAGTAAACAAAACTTTGTTCAATAGCAGGAATCAGTAAACAAAACTTTGTTCGTAGGAATCAGTAAACAAAACTTTGTTCAATAGTAGGAATCAGTAAACAAAACTTTGTTCAATAGTTGGAATCAGTAAACAAAACTTTGTTCAATAGTAGGAATCAGCAAAAACAAAACTTTGTTCGTAGGAATCAGTAAACAAAACTTTGTTCAATAGCAGGAATCAGTAAACAAAACTATGTTCCAAGAGAGGGAATAACTCCTGAGTTGAGTTTTGGGCTTCCTAGTTTCTATATTTGATCCATGTGTTGAACTACTCCTGGCAAGTGGAAACTGTTGGTTTCTGTTAGGAATGATTTTTTGGTCTTAATCAAAGGGTTTACATAAAACATACCTTTTCCATTTTCATTAAACCAGCTTAACATCTTCCACAAGTTTTTATAACAATTACACTTCCTTCTTGTATTTTACTTAATTTTTCCTTTTTCAAAGCAAACTAAATAAACTTTTCTTCTACATTGACGATGACTTTGAATTAGTTATTAGCTGCAAAGTACAGCTTTGAATTAGCTACAAAGTACAGCTTTGAGGTCTAAATTGGTATAACACAAACTTGGAAAATTAGTTTGTAAAAAATACAATATCAAATATTTTATTTATACATGTTTACGGACCCAACCCTACTCAATGTTACAAAAACAATTTCATCACTGTGGTTAGAAAGAATTGAAGAATTTTTTTAAAAATTCTTCAATTCTTTAGATTTAAAAAAAAAATTTAAGATTCAAAGAATATGAAGAGTTTATTAAGAAGATCCATTTACTATGATCAGCATCTTATCAGACCCTACTCAGAATGCTCACCTAACATAATGCCCCTAAAAGCCTTTATTTTTTGTTTCATATGAAAAAAATCTTGTTTTATATAAAATAAAAATAAAAAAATAAAAAGCTAGAGAACAAAAATAAAAAGTTGTGTCCATTTAATTTTATTTGTTGGGTTTAATTGGGGAACAATAAACTCTAAGTATTTATGGTTTTTGGAAAAAAAAATTTATGAAATCTTTTAAATATGTGGTTTAATTTAGACCTTGTCTAAATATTATAATTTAATACAATACTATAATTTTTTTTTATTTGAGCCAAATTTGGGACAGGGGGACCCAAATTTGAAGTTTAATATTACTCCCAGGCTCTAATTGTCGCAATTTTTCCTGAAACATTCTTATTTGACATTAGTATAAAAATTCTGAAAGTCATCTTCATGAACACTGAAAATTCTGTTTTAACCACCTTTTATTTTTAATCATATTTAATTTTTGCATGTCGACAAAATATAATCAAAATTGAGGTTATAACTGAACAAGGTATGGTGGTTTAAAAAATGTAGTTCATTTTTAGTATATTTTTTAATTCATCTGAAATATCTCTAGGATGTGTAAGGTACAAAGTTATTTACAAAATTAATATTTAATAGTTCTCATGGACAATTGAACAACTTCAAACTAATAACTACAGAAGTTTTAAACAACCCAGAAGGTGAAAAATAAGAAACAAATAATTTTTGAAAAACTATGGACACATTATTTAAAAATTTACTTACAAAATATAACTAGCTAATTTTATCATTCCAATGTACCCATGGGGACAAAGAAAGGGAGCATGAAGAGTAAAAAATTTACAAGCACTTTGTTTGAAGTTCTAAGACAAAAAAACTTAAAAAAATCTTTTTAAAAACCTCTAAAGTTGAACTTTTGTCTTTAAGAAGAGCTAAATGAGTTTTCATTGCTTGAAACTTCATTTTCGCTAAAAAGAAAGAAAAAATAATAAAACTTGAAGCAAAAAAAAAAAAAATTTTTAGATTAAATAAAGATTGTTTTTTAAACAAGTTATATTAGTTTAAACAAGTTATTTTAGCATAACATAATAATAATTATAATACATATTTGTAACTAAAATTCTTTTTGTTCTTTTGAACACTTTATTTCAACATTTCATATTATTGTAATAGTTTTAGTTTTTACATCAGATAATAAAAAATAAATAAAAAAAAATAGATACAAATATATGAAAAACCTTGTATATCAAAAGTTGTACCAAAACAAACTTTTTCATGAGATCCAATCTGGTCAAACTATAGAAAAAAATTAACAAAAAATGTCAATATAATAAGTATGAAGTGATGATTGATAATAATATTGATCATCATAATTATGAAGATGAAACTATATTCATGATCACCATTATCATAATTACCATCATCATTATCATAATTATCATCATCATGATCATGATAATGATGAACTTAATAAAGCAAAAAAACTCTTACAAAGAAAGTTGTTAACATGAGCTCCAACTGACTGCACAATGAACAAATTTCCAGCATGACTTCTCTTTCTGAGTAAACATTTTGTCGTAAATAAGAGTGCAAACAGGATTCAACTAAACTTTTCAAATAAAACAATTATGAATTTCGACAAAAATTTGTTGAATCTCAGTTAGAAAAAAAATTAGTCTAAAAACAGCTAAATCCAAAGAATAATCTAGTGAAATTATACTAAAATTTTATATATAAAGCAGAGTACTGTATTTGAAAGTTTCTTAGGTTACATAATGGCTAAATTTTTTTGTTTTGTTTTAAAGTCTTTTAACTTGTGCAACACGGTAAGTAAAAGACGATTAAATTGCTAAATGTTACATAGTAATTATATGCAGAAAGTTTATATAAAAAAATTACATAATCATATCCAAATGTTCATATATTTCTATATCCATATATCTCCCTTTACGTTAACTATTCATATATCTTCTCTCTTTACAATAACTATCCATATATCTCCTATTTCTCTCTCTCTTTGCTCTTTACGTTAATTATTCATATCTCTCCCCATTTTTTTGTGTGTGGGGTCATCTTCCTGCTTATATATCATAAACAGACGCAGACGTGTCTACGGTTATTAAACAGGTTAGTTTACCAACAGCATTTCTGCCAAATGCAACACGCTTCGTTAGGCTTTGTGTTACGCTTGAGTGGTTTTGTTTGAGACCTTCGTAACACTTGTAAACATTTTTTAATCTTGAGTTTTAAAAGCTAATAATTTCAAAGAATATAAAAATGAAAACCCCTCATCAAGATTGGCCTGAATATGATATAATATAATATGATATGAATATAATATAATACTATTATATGTAAGATATGTAAGTGTTTAAAACATTTCAAAATAATCACACAAAAAAAAACTCAAAAAATAACTTAATATTTCAAAAAAAAAACTTTTTATGAAAAAAATTAAAATTTTTTTCATAAAAAGTTTTATTTTTTTTCATAAAAAAATTAAAACATTTTATGAAAAAAAAAATACTTCTTGTTTTTTTATTTGGTTTCAAACTTTTCTTTCAAACAAAGTTGCTTGTTAAAAGTCAAACAACTTTGTTTAAAAAAATAATTAGTCAAGAATTCAGCCCAAAAAACTTTTTGAAATAATGTTTAAATTTTTTAACAAAAAAAAAACTTTAAACAACATTTGAAGAACTTTGACAAATAGTCATTTGTATTTTTACAACAAAAAAGCATACTAGCAGTAGTATTTTATAGCTTCAAACTTCTTGTTATTTTATTTGGTTTAAAGACCATGTCATTTATTATTCATATTAATTTTACAAAAGATTATATATTTACAAAACTCATTGGTAAAAGAGATTCTTTTTTTCTAAAAAAAAAAGTCTTAGTATAATAAAAAATGTTCAAAACAATAAAAACATGTTTTAAACATTCAACTAAATCAAATTTAATTAAAGATTGAGAGAGAATAATAGAATATTTTTCTATATATAAAGTGTTTCTTTGCAGTATTGGCTTTCAAGATTTTTGCTTCACGTAATGAAACCTTTGTTAAGATTGACTAAATAAACGATACAATACAAATATTGACTTCAACAAAAATGTCAGCACATCTTTAATTCAATTAATAAATTAATTTACTTTTAATTAAAACGTTTCCTATAAGACATATATTAGTAGTCAGTCATTTTAATTATTTTTCTTCATTATTTTCACCCGAGAAAAAATACAAAAAAACTTTTACACTGGACTACTAATTATCATAACGGACAAATGAGAAATAAAAACTGTTTCAGTTGTCTGCAGGGCAACTGGGAAAAAAACTGGCAAGGTCTGTATATGTATATATATACATATATATATATATATATATATATATATATATATATATATATATATATATATATATATATATATATATATATATATATACACATATACGGGCCTTGTTCTAAAGTGTTAAGCGTAGAGCAATTTATGAATGCCTTAAGTGATTTTTATGTAAGTAGTAAGCGATTTTGGTTAAGCGACATTTTTATCATTTTTCACTTTTAAATCATACTATTAGCGGGAAAATAAAAGAAGTAATTAATTTTTAAAAAAGTCACATTAATTTTTAAATAAAGTTTATGTAAAAATATTTCTTACAAAAATTTGAATGACAATTATGTTTGATATAAGCGCTATTAAAATAATAAATTTAAATAATAATTTTTTAATTAGTAAATATTTACTAATGAAAAAAACTCAAATAAAAATTCTGATAAAAAATATACGATTTAATTTAAAACTAATTTAATAAAAATATATAATTTTATTCTGATAAAAAAAATATAGTTTAATATAGATTTAAAAATATATATAATTTAATTTTGATTTGAAAAATATATTTAAGTTTATTAAAAGTTTATTAAAAAGGTAATGCTTGGGTTTAACTTAACTGCCATATCTATGTAAAAAAATTACTAAATATTGTTTAATTTTTAAACTTTGTTTGTTCTTTAAAAAAAAAATAAGCTTATTTTTATCGCAATTTTTTTTTCGGTTTTCCCTCCAAAATATTTTTTTTTACTCAAAATTAAATTTAAATAAAAACGGCTGCATCAAAAGTTTGCATAAAATGTAAACTTTTTTTTTACAACCCAAGTTAAATCGCAGAGATTACTTTTTAATAAACGATATATTTAGCGATGTAATTTTAATAACAAAATAATAAACTTTAAGTAAATAAAGTAAATAAATTAACATAACTTTTTTATTTGTTACTCGCTATATTTTTTTTTCACTAAATCATTTGTAGTTGCAAAGCCACAATTAGAAATTTAAGAAGTAATCATTTTAAAATTTAACATATTTTTATTCATTTATGAAAATGGTGAGAAAAGAAAGAAATTTGTTAATATCAAACATACTTTATTGCTTAACTGCAGACATAAAATTGCTTAACTGCAATCTTAAAAATCAGCTTGTTGTGTGCGCCAGTAGAAATGCAACTGTGTATACAATAAACAGAATTATTGATTGATTATTTTTATCTTAAGATAACTATAATCAATTAATAAATTGTAAACACAGTTTACAATTTATTAAACTCATAGCAAAGTCATATTTGTTATCAAATATTTTCCAGCATGTTCAAGAACTCAAGTACTAAAGCGCTCATTAAAAGGAGAATATTGCTCACCATGTAATATTTAAAATAATTAAACTTATTTAAAACAAAAAAAAAATATTTTTATTACTGTTAATTGCATGATTCTTAATTTGATTCTAACCTTTGTACGAAGGGTCATAAAAATTTATTTTGCATAATGGAATATCCTTCCAATCAGACATTCTATATTCGTGTTCTATATTTTTTTTATTTATTCTAAATAAAAAGTTAAAATAAACAAATGAAATATAAAAACAATTTTTTTTTACAGATATTTATTCTATGGGTAAAGATAATATATATTAAAAACCAATACAAATTATATATAATAGATAATATATATTTTATTATATATTAGTACCTAACCCAGTTTTGATTTTGCTGAAATAAGAATGGTTTTATATTCAGAATTGATTAAATGTGATGAACATAATTTTAAAGATTATTGAGGAACGTTTAAAAAAATTATCATTAGACTTAACGCTATCAACATCATTAAAGGGCAATGTAAGTGATTACAAATTGCAATATCTGAAAACACTTCAGGTTCTGATTTTATATAAAGTACCTAAATTGTGCTAGCAAAATCTTTGTTAAATAATGTGAAATAATCTTAAAACAAACAAATTTAAATGTGCAAATAATAAAAAATCAAGTTTTTTCTAAATCTAAATATATATATATATATATATATATATATATATATATATATATATATATATATATATATATATATATATATATATATATATATATATATATATATATATATATATATATATATATATATATATACATATATATATATATATATATATATATATATATTATATATATATATATATATATATATATATATCAGTGTGTAAACAATGTTAATGGCTTCAAAGCAATTTTTTTACAACTTCACAAAAAAAGTGTAATAAAATAAGAACATAGGAATGAAAAAACTTTAATTGGAATAACTATACTGGTGAGTCATTTGTTAGTCTCCGCCATATAACATATAAATAATCTAAGTTATCTTATTAATTAAAAATATAAATAATACTGAAAACACAACCCTTAAGATAATATTGAAAGCATTCAGTTTTTTCAGAAAAAGAAGAAAAGAACAAAGAATAATGAAATATTACTGCCTCATGCTAAACCCTCACTTGATGTATTGGCGCTGCAAGAGCAGGTCTGACCTTGTTTACATTTTTGCATCTTGTCTAAAAGAGAAAGAGCATCATTCGAAAGCCCATTTCAGATATGGCAGCAGTATTCTATACAAGAATGAATTATAGATTTAAAAAGAGTAAAAAATGTGGTGAGCATAATAAAGAGATGTAACCTTAGCAAATGCTAACTTTGGAACAGATTTGATTTATGGTTCCCAAGAAAGATCAGAAATAAAAGTTAATCCTAGATCATCTAGTACATTACCATTCATAAATATAGAAAGATCTAGATTAATGCAATAACAATAATCTAAATAAAAGTTCACCAGCCACTGAAAGCAATATGCTGCAGCAGAAGTGAGATACTTTTCAAGCTCAAAAGCCCCCTTCAAGCATCAGAGAGTGTTGGCTTCTTGTCAAGACAAGAATTAATGGTAGTATCATCAGCGAAAAATGCCACCTTAGATATGAGAATTTCTGGAAGATTGTTAATGTAAATTTAAAAAAGTATAGGGCCAAATATAGAACCTTGAGGAACCCCTGAAGATATAAGAAATTAAGGAGAGTGCTGTCCATCAAGGACAAATTTTATACTATGATTGGTAAAGAAGGATTGGATAGTCTTAAAGATGTTAACTAATACACCTTAAAAAGAGAGCATATGGAGAAGACCAGCATGCCAAACTTTATCTAAAATAATGAAATCCAGGAATGTTGTCCGAAAATCACTTTAGATACAGAAGCTGGAGTAATACAAACGCCAAGCAATGGATCAACCTGTTTGTTGGCTAGTTCAGGTAGAATGTGATGAGTGGAATCAAGAGATAAGATTGAGGAAAAGTTCTTTGCAATTAATTCAGCTTTTCAGGTGAGGTAACAAAATATGAACCATGTAAGATAGGTGGAATAACAAATTTTTCGTTATTATCAACACTGTTAAAAATTCTCCAGAAGTCTCCGCAACCTAATTTATGAGATGAAATAGGAGATTTAGTGACCTGAGAATAGGGCTTTGGCGTTGGCCAAAAACCTTTTACAATAGTTTCTAGCGATAGTAAATAGACAACTGTTTTCTGGATAATTATTTTGGTGATAGATATGGAAGTATTAGTTACAATTGAAAATTCCAACAGCACAATGAGAGGAAAATCGTGGAGAAGAGTAAGGCTTTACTTGGTATTGTCAAGAAGGAATGATTCCATGCCAGTCTGAATCCAAAAAGTTACATTAGAAGCATAATTGTCAGCACATTTGTTACGAAAGATTTTAACCCAACGGCCATCACAGAAAAGTCATTGAAAGAATCCCAGTCAGCTTTAAGGTAGTCGTAAGAGTAACAATGATAGGGGGATTCTGATGATGATGAAAAACGAGATAATAGATCAAACAGCACCTAAGGGTGAATCTGGAGAAACTGAGCACTGACTAGGAACAGAAATAAGACATAAGTCGAGTAGAGAAGATAAATGATTTGGATTGTCTGGAGAACAAGTTAGAATGTTGACTATTTGTGTTAGAGATTGAGAAAGACAAAAATTGTGGGCCTTAATGCCTGCAAAGTCACTGACAATAGAGCCAAGCCATACAGTGTGAGCATTCAAATCACCAACAATTCAGTGTGATGAACATTAAATCACTAACAACAACGATATTGACTGAATAATAAAGAGAAAGAGCTTGATCAATTTGATCAGAAATAACATCAAAAAGAGTCCAGTTTTGAGATGAAGGAGAGCAATATAGAACAAAGAGAAAAGTGATAGAGTGAATTGGTCTTAAACAAAAGCACATAGAAGAATAGTCTTCCTAGTGACTATTGGAGTCTTTAATACTTGTGGTCATTGAAATAACTTTGAAAAACAAATACAAATTAAAAGAAGATAACCATCAACACTAAAATCACAAAATTAAACAGCTAAACTCAAATTAGTCTCACAAAAAGCAAGTAGATCTGGTGAACTTTGCAAGAGATAATACTCAACAGAAGAAAAGTTACTTCAAAGACCACAAGTATTATTGTATGAACTTGGTGATGATGATGATTTTTTGTGTTTTTTAGTTGTTGGTACTTTAGTCATTTATGGATTTGTTAAAGAACTTGACTCAAAGCACAGATAGTACTCAGTAAATTATTTACTACTCCAAGCAACTGCTTTTTTATTATTAATGAACCCTCGTAATAAATCCTAATAAGTCGTAAAAAAAGGGCTCCAAATGTCTTGACAATCCCCACCAAAGGTATGAACAGGGATATTATCCATGCGCAACATGCCACTGTTAGTACTCTGATACTTAACATGTGTTGATGAAATCTGCCACTCTGAGAGTGGCAGATTCCATCAACACATGTTAAGTATCAGATAATATATAACAGAGTTCAGGAAACCTGACTACCAGCACAATCTCTAGCCTTTACTCAACAAAGAGCCCTATGTTATGTCAGATTTGGCTTCTCCAAGCCTACACCTAAAAAAACATCTTACAAGGCACCAGAACATAAATCAGTTGTACTAGGTTACATGTTACCAGTAGCAGGATAACTTGTCCACACATGAAATATAATTTTTTCAGACAAAATGATCAAAAAAACTTACAGGAAAGCTGAATTTATCCACAGACAATAAATTTAAAACTAAAAAAGGAAACAAAATATAAAATAAATTTAAATGTGAGAAAAATTAATAAATTAAACAAAAAAAATTTATCACAAAAAAAAATATTTGAAAAATATTTATACTATACTTATATTCTTTTATTAGGGTTGTTTTTATATCAGCTACAAAATTTGATACAAGGAAAAAAGTCTATAAATCATGAAGATTTAATGACAATAAAATGATTTGATACATAATTTATTCAGGAATTTTATCAGTCAGTATATTAAGAAACTAATTCACTATCTACACTGCTATAAGAAATTTTGTTATCTTTTTTTAATTTAGCTTTTACAAAGGTTTTTGCTACATTTAACATTTTCTCTCAATTATTTAGTCAAGTTTTTTAGTCAATTTAGTCAATTAATTTAGTCAAGCTAGAAAATAAAGTGCTATTAAAATTTGAGTTTTTAAACATAACAAGATTTTATTACGTTTATAATTTATTATTTTATTGTCTTTTATTACATTGCAATCAATTGCAAAATTTTGTAATTTTTATTGTCTTTCATTACATTGCAATCAATTGCAAAATTTTGTAATCTTTATTATGTCTTTTATTACATTGCAATCAATTGCAAAATTTTGCAATGACGGAAGAAGTGAAAAAAAAATCTAATTGTTTCTTTTACAATTGTATTGACCATATTTGATACCTGTCTGTAAATGTTTCCACAATATTTCCTAATTGTCTAAGGTTATTTCTCAACTATCCAAGGCCCAACAAATTACTAGGGAAAGTTAACAAAACAATTGAAACTAAATTTTAAAAATGATTAAATGGTCTCCTGTAAATTTTGAAAATTTTACCAGAAAATAAAATTACTATGTGGAGAATCCAACGCAAGCGCAGACTGTATCAATAGGGCATAGGTGGAGCCAGACCATGTAGTAATGGAGGGCTAATTTTAGATTTTTTTTGATTAGGTAGTTCCACATTATCTATTAGGGGTAATTTTCCAGGTATAATGATATATAAGCTGGCAAACCCACAATTCCATATTAAATAAAAGTCTAAATAAATTATAAATCAAAATATTTTTATACTTTCATTAAATTTATATGAATTATAATTTCTTTATCGTTCTTTTTCCTCAACTTGTATCATTTTTCATAGCAGTCTTGGCTTTCTAACTTGTGGCCTTGCTAATTTTGGCCTTGTTAACAACTCTGTATATATATAAAATAGAATATCCACTCTTTTTTCTAGATGCTTTTCTACTTTAATAAAAATATGGAATTACTTATGTTTTTGAAGAAAGAATGAATCTAAAATGAAATAAAAGTTATAAGTGCATTATAAAAGTAATAACACTATTATAGTTTTATTACTTTTATAAAGCAGTTAGTAACTAAAGTGCTATTACTTTTGAAGTCATAAGTTTATTTATTTGTTTTTTACAACTTCTTT